ATTTTAGGCTAATTGCAGGAGAATTCTCTCCTTACTAGAGGTGTTCTTTTGTTTTTAAAATTTCTGCTAAACTGGATTTTCATTAACTGCTGTGCATACCAGTTATGATATTCCCAAGCTTCTGATGTTGCTAGGTGATGTCACAATTCCATCCAAGAACCGAACAGACTTATGTGAGGCCATTAGTCCCCCAGAGGGTCTCTGCTTAGCTAGCACCCCCACATAGCTCCTATCCTGTCTGTCACTGCAGTTATGAGTTAATTTTAACACATAGAGCCAAGATCCACATGTCATCAATTCAGTCATTAAATTTTAAGCAGTCTGTGAGGGACTCTCTCATCTGTAATCCACTATACAGGGTAATATAGGAATTCACCCACAGATGCTGAGTTTTATTCAGATTAGACCTAATGAAGTGAATGAAAACCTACTTGCTTCCACTGTTTCTGATTCTGGCCTGTGGCACCAATGAGAAGAAGAAAAGACAGATGCCATTGTTATATATTTATATTCGGTTTTCCTTTTTAAAAAATGCATAGAGCAATAATCATTTCTGAATATTATTAAAGCCTGTGCAAATGGTGTGCACTTCTTTATCTGAACTATGGAAATAAAGAATGTCAGATTACGCTAGAAACAAATGGGTACAATGCAGTGAATAATGTAGACATGTTCTTCTCTTTCCCAGGTGTAAAAGCAACCAGTGTTGGATTTCTAGGCTTTATGACAGTCGGTGTATAGTCGATATTAATTTATTTTGCGTTTTTCACAAACTGGCTAGCCAGCTCTAGGGGGCATTGCAAAGGAAATGTACAAAATGCTTGTCAAAGGCTAAGTGAAACCCATTCACACCTGGTCTCTGGCCTATTTAACTGTAATTTTGCCACAAGTCTTATTAAATTAATGCCATCCAATTAGCTGCACAATAAAAAAATTCACACTGGGCCTTTCCCTTTGCTTCTGAAATCCTTCATGTACTGAAATCAATAGGATTAAAGAGGGAGGGAATAGAGTGAAGCACCCAAATAAATATTTTCTGGAACACTCTCCATCAGCTATTCAAGCAGGGACTTGTCTTCATACTGTCAGTCTGAAAAGGGGGAATGATGCCAGTTTGCGTGCAACCTACAATAAGTGGCAAATTTCATAGGTTTTTAACATGATGTGAAAGACGAATGACAAATATTTGTAACAATTTATATAGATGATTTAGAATTCACCTTCTGTGTCATACTGCAGAAAAGACTTTAATGCTTCTCTAGTTTGCCACCTGGATTTTATTGCTTTCATATTGTTGTAAAACCCCATCAGCATTGCTGCTAGCATCCAAACAATAAATAGGTAGCATCGCTGAATGGGACTGCTGAAGTTCTCCAAGGCACAATAATTGCCAGTATGCTTAATACACAAAAACAGCCACTGGTGAATTTGACCATGGCTGATCATAACTTAATTTGTCAGATGGATACTTCTCTCAAAGTGCAGTGACAGTGGGAACCAACATGTGGCAAAAATAAGGTGACAATTGCTAATGATAATGGCTAGGAAACACAGGAAAAGGATCCGGAAGTACATTGTAACTTTGTCCTAGACATGGAGGTGGCTACAATGGTGATTGGATAATACTTGGAGTTGGGGCATTTGTCGTTTAGCCTTAGGCAAATATAGTTTGGAGGCATTATTTAAAACAGTTGAAAGCAAACCTTGTGCTACTAAATAATCCCCCACACCTAGGGCAGCAATCAAGGATAGTCCAACTAACATGAGCAGAGCTACTCTGCAGTAAATGGGAAGCAGATCACCACAATCCAACATAGAGTTCAGTGGACACCCAGCAGTAAAGCTCACATAATTCAATAACAGTTACTGCCCAGTGTGTGCTTAGAGCTTCACCCTTAAACTCACTGAAATTCTCTGGTTTGGCCACTGTCTCATGTTCAGAATGTTACTATGTTACATTTACCTGTGTATCAGGTTCTGGATCCAGCTGATTTGTTTAGTACATGTTTACTACCAGAGCAGAATACATTGACCTCTCCTCCTCCATTGTACTCTCGCAACCACCCTGTGACATGAGAGAGAGAGAACACAATTTTGCCCAAAGGAACTGTGGCACCACCATTCAGGGACAGAATGGAAAGGGAAATTGCTGAATTACAAGTTATTACAACACTTGGAACAAAAACCTCCCCAGGACTCAACAGGGATATTGGTTTCCTATCTCATTACATAAGCTAACTCATTCAGTCCTCACATATGTATTCTCATACAGAGGGACTATACATCCTCTGTATTTTAGTATATTTCTTTTTTTCAGAATAGTATATTAGAATACTGAATGTAATACAAGGAATATTGGAATGTTTGGCTGACATAACACTGCACCCACCTCTAAAGATAAAAAAATGCCTGAGAGGAATAAATGAAGAGTCTAAGTCTTATCTTGACATATTTATTGCTTTACAACTGTTGACCTTATAACCGTAACTTGTTATTTAGTTTTGTCTTCACATATCTTAAAACATCTTCATCATGTTACATGTTCATTTGCTGTTCAGCCCGTCTATAAGTTTGAGCCTTTCCTTCCATTCCAATGTATTTGAAAAAGTGTGTGCGCAGACAAAAGCTCATGCCTTGAATCAAACTTTGTTGGTCTTAAAGGTACCCCTGGATTCTAAATTTGTTCTGCTGCTTCAGACCAACGCGGCTTGACCACCTGGATCTAACTTTTCTCAAGGTCACCCAGTGAGATTTCCCATCAGAGAGGGGATTTGAACCTGGGCCTGTCAGATCCTAAGTCCATCACTCTAGCTGAGACACAGTGCTGGCACTTATTTTAATTCCATCCCTTTTATTTTGCTTCCACCCATCTGAATGGATATGTTCACTGTCTCCTTGAAGCAGTATTTCCGCTCAGCCTCTCAGATGTCTTTCCTAGTTTGTTTGGGTTTTTTAAGTAGAAAGTTCAGATCTTTGTTTGGATGCCACCCACCAATCCTTGTTTCAATCATCCTCATTTTGCAGTTATGCCACTGAACAGGAGCAAGAAAGGCAAATGAGCTATATCTTGTACAAGCCGCCTGCTAAAAAAATGTATACAGCACCAGTTCCTAGTGGATGAAATTAACTTTGTGACTGCCACCAAAAAACAGTAGAGGATCACCTAAAGCCACACAGTTTATATACCAGTAGGCATTTCTCAGGGGAAACAGGGAAACTTCCTCTATGAGTTTTGCAGCTCTAATTTAGGTAGGTTTCTCAGGGCAGGGATTTCTTGTTGTTGTTGCTTGTGTTAACTTTGTAAAGTGCCTCGTATGTTAATTGCCTAAAAGTAGCGTTTTCTATAATAAGGGAAACAGTGGCACACAAACCAAAGTTTAGTTATAAGACTGGCACCTTCTTTAAGCAAACTTGGAAGCGGAATCAAAACCCCCTTAACAAGGACTTACCCTCCCAGCGGTAAGGACTGAATAAGTGTTTGTTCAAAATGGATATTTTGAAATGCGGGAGGGCCCGGGGGGTGGGGGGCTGTCATTTTAAAACGGGGCTCCCCTCCTTTACTTTTCCATGTGGGAAAAAAATATTGGCAAACAACGAAGAGCGAACGCAACCGGCCGCTTCTTTTTGCGCGGTCACGCCAGAGTTCCTACAATCAAAGCCGTAACAATTTCGGCCCGCTGCTGAGCCACAGCCTCGGCTTGCCCTGAATAAGGAAACCGGACACAAACAGGCACGCATATTACACACACGCACGCGCGCGCGCGCACACAGGTCAAAAGTTGACTGCATCCCCAGCTTCCCCTCGGATCTTTCTTGCTCCGTCCTGGCAGTTCTGATTTTCCGCCCAAGGTAACAAGTAGTGGGATCCGGAAAGGGGAAGGTGGTGGGGGATCGTCGTGTCCGTTCCTGCCGGCTAAAAGGTCCGGGCCGGGTTTTGCACCTTGTCCCCGGGTCTGCCTCACGGCCTGGAGGAGCTGCTGCTTCTGCTCTGTTTATTGAGCGCTCTTGTCCTGGTATCACTCCGCTGGCATGGAGGAGGAGGAGGTGGAGGAGGAGAGCACTTGATCATTGTGATGGTGGCAGGCGGAGAAGCAGCAAGCGAAGCAGAGCATTAGGCTGCCTGGGTAGCAGGCTCGGCGGACGGCTGGCGAAAGACTTCAGCGAGCGACTTTTTGCAGATCGCGCCCCGACGTTTTGACTCCCCCCCCCCCCCCAACTCGAGGATTTGCTTTTTTTTTTTTAAGGTTCCTGTTGAAATACAACTGAGCAGCTAAAGTACTTTGGAGAACACGGTGCGGCATAAACACTCAAAACTTTTTTCCCCTCCTCCCCTGGAAAGAAAACATAATAAGAAAGCGACGGTGCCTGTCTTCCGATGCTGTGGAGTGTGAGTGCGGTGTTGTGTGTGCGTGCGTGCCCACCGGTGTCTCTCTCTGTGTGTGTCTGTCTGTGAGTGTGTCTAGAGAAGTGTGAGCGGGGATAGATTCCTCTCTATGGACGCGTGTGGGTGCGTGGCTCGCTGTCTCGGTTTTAATACATGGGGGAGACTAAGAGGGGTTTCGGTCCGGATTTTGTTTTGGAAATAGTCGATTATTAAAGAGACAGAGAGAGAAATAAAGGGGGAGGGGGGGAGACCGCTTCGAGCTCTCCTCCCTGGAGTTTGCCACCGAACTGCTGCTGCTCAGTTTGTTGGGATTCCTTCTGTGTTTGTTGATTGTCTGGTGATAACCTCACAGCACCACCTTCTGGGGTTTGCTCTGGGTAGATTTTGTTTTTTGCCCCTTGCCTCTTTGCCGGAGAGGATCTACAGCCGAGGAAGAGAAAAGGGGGGCTTCGAAAGCCCAACCGCCCCCGACCTTCGCCTGGGCTCCGCTACTTCCATGGCCCGCTAAAGAGTATCCCGTCCGGAGGACCCTCGTGTCTGCGTCTGGTGTGCGGCGCCCGCGTGTCGGGGGGGTGGGGAGAGAACTTCTTCCAAAATAGTGTGCCGGGGGAAAGGGATGGGGGATTTTCCAGCCCCCGCTGCTGCCGCGAATGGCAGCAGCATTTGCCTCAACAATAACCTGAGCAGCAACCTCGGCGGGACCGGTCTCGGCGTGACTAGCGCTCCCCACGGCCCTCCTCCCGGTAACAGCGCTCCTCATAGCGGCGGCAGTGGCGGCGGCACGAACGGGAGCGGCGGCATTCCCAAGCACAGCACGGTGGTGGAGAGGCTGAGGCAGCGGATCGAGGGCTGCAGGAGGCACCACGTCAACTGCGAGAACAGGTACCAGCAAGCCCAGGCCGAGCAGCTGGAGCTCGAGCGAAGGGACACGGTGAGCCTTTACCAGCGGACCCTGGAGCAGAGGGCCAAGAAAGCGGGCGCAGGAGGCGGCGGCGGCGGCAAGCAGCAGCAGCACCACCCCAGCAAGCAGCCACAAGATGCCGAGTCTGCCACGGCCGAGCAGAGGAACCACACGCTGATCATGGTAAGGGGGCGGGAAGGCGAGCGGGGGGGGGGGCGGCGGAGCACCTGTGGGCTGGCGCTCTTTCCTTTGGAGTGCTCGCCGCCCGCCTGAACGGATGTAGGAGTTTGGGAGGGATGCTTGGCTGAAGCCCGGGAATGGGCGGAGAGAGGAAACTTTGGTCCTATAACTAATAAGGGAATCCAGGAAGCCAGTGGACTATTTGAAGAGGAGCGGAATCGGTGGGGGTGGCAGAGGCTGGCTCGCTCGCTCGCTCTGTCCCCAGCCCGTCTCTAACTTACACAGGCTTTGGCAAGAGAGGGAGGCTTCCCTTCGGATCGATTAACACGCTCTCTCCTAAAGAGGAAAAAGTATAATCCAAGTAACGAGTCTCCACCTACCGGCCCCGCCCCCTACGGTCAACGATGAGCATTTTTAAGGGTGTTTTTTTAAAAAAAAGATTGGGGCAGGGTAGAAAGAGCCAGGGGACATTTGGGGTTCGGAATATAGTTCGACTGCTCAAAAAAGAAAGGAGGGGACACGTGCGGGTGCCCGTGTATGTGTGGATTATAAACGACACGCATGTGCTTTATAAATGACACGCGTGTCTGCAAGGATGCTGGCTGCCTCTTTAAAACCAGGGGGGGGGGGGGGGGGGGGACGCGAGGGTTGGCTTTATGGCTTTGCCGAGGGGGAATGACAGCCCTCAGGAAGAGAAGTTGGGCAGGTTCTTCCTTGGCTGGTGGCCCGTGCGTGTGTGCAGGGGAGCAGCCCAATCAGGTCCCCTCAAACTAGCACCAGCCACTCAGCAGCCGCTTGGGCTGGCTTTTTTTTTAATGCTAAAGTTTCCTTGGCCTTTTAAGAGGCTTAGACGAGAACAGCAAAGGGGTGGGAATTAAATCCGCCGGTGGCGTAAGGAGTGCTAGTAGGAAGCGGCGTTCCGCACTTGTCCCGATGCTACGGAACAGAAGGGAATCAAAAGCCGGTGGGGTGGTCAGACGCGCCTTTCAAAGAAAATTGCCCCCAATATACGAAGCGGGTCCCTAGTCAACATTGACCGGGGGTGGGGGTGGGGGATTATTCACTACAGGAAGCTCTGGTCAATGGAACCTATCCCTCCTCCAGCCTTGGAATTAGTAACCTGGTTTCTTTTCTTTTTTTGGCTCCCCTCTCCTCTCCCGTAAGGGGTCTACCAAGGGATCCGCAAGCGGAGATCAGGCTGTTGTCCAGATTTGTTGTCAGTCGCGCTAACCGCTTGCCTGGCTTCCAGCCGCCTCCATTGCAAGAGTTCGTGCCGTGTAGATTTGGCGGCGCTGCGGGCTGAGCTTCGTGGGGTCGGGAGTTATTTATTGCGGCTGCAATTCTGTCGTCGGGCTTTATTAATACAGCCCACCGATTCCCGTAATTGGCCATCATTGGCATCCACACGGGGATCTGCCGCTCTCTGTAAAATAAATCTAAACTATGCACGATCCCACCCCCAGCCTATTACTCTTTTAATTGAAGGCCGCTCCTCCCCGCCCCCTCACTCCCGGCTATTAAATATTTGCCCAAGTAAGGGCTGCCGTTGGCTTCCGGAAGACAACCACTTAGACAGCAGCTTTCACAAGGGAAGCGCCGGCTGGAGAAGGCGGGCCGAGAGGCTGGCCTCGCTTCATGGGCCATTTACTGTCGCCCGTCCTGGGCTGGTGTTGGGTGGTAGCTGCCGGTTGCTTACCCGGGAGGGAGGGAGGGAGGGAGGGAGGGACCCACACGTCCCTCCCCTTTGAGTTGGGAGGCCTGGAGGGCGTGGGCTGGCGGCGGGGTCAGCCGCAGAGGCAGACCAGGGGCTTGGGAGGGGGGCTGCGGTGATGGGTCGGGGAGGGGAGAGGAAGGGTGGCGGTCTCCTCCTCTTCCAGACTGCCGGTGCGGCCGGCTCCTCCCACGTCGGGAGAGGGACAAGTTGTTGATTGGGGGCTCTGCCAAACGCGCCCTTTCCCGCCCCCCCGCCTGTTTAGTGGTGCCGCCTCGGTCCCTCCCACCGCTGCGTAAAAGGCTAGCTCTGTGGCGACCCGCAGGCGGGACGCGCATCACCTTCCTCCGCCTCCTGAGAGCGGAGGCGCTTTGTCTGCCCTATCGACCGCGCACTTATGGGGGGGGGGGGGGGGGTAACACACAAGCTACTAGTGACGCTTCCTCCTGTAAACGAGCGCGGTGGCGCTCGGTGCTGGAAACCTCCCTCCTCCTAGGCAGGGGAAATGAGGCTGCGGCGAGGGGGAACGCCCCTGGTGCAGGCGGCGGGGCTTCTCCCAGAACGGGGAGGGAAGCAGGCCGATAAGGCGCTGGTAGAAAGACGCGGGAGGGCGTCCTGCATAGTGGTGGCGTCGGCGGAGGACTCGAGGAGCCCCAGAAAAGCACAAAGGGCGGCACGGAACTCGCCGACAGGAAGCCGAAAGGGCTCGGTGGGGCCGTAGTGGGGCCGGCCCTCTCGGGGATCGAGTCGCGCCCGGAAGGTTTCGTGCGTGAGCCGCGTTGAAGCTCAGCTGTTGCACGCCCTCGACAAAGCAGGGTTTGCGTTTGCACCAGATTGCGTCACTCCCCTCGGCTTTTAAAAATAAAACCGAAGGCGTCCATTCCTCCCTTTTAAATAGGCTCAGAGTTGTGCCTGACTTCCTTGGCCGGGGCTGGGTTGCAGACGGGGACTATTTAGGTGATGTTTGCTGAATCTCCGCGCCACGGATAGGGAGCGCATTGTGCCGGGAAGGTGTCCCCTCTCCGTGGGCTGCTTTTCCCACAGAAAAATGTTTGGTTTTCCCTGATAAGGCTCACATTGAATAAAACTTTACTTTTTTCAATTAGTTTTGTTGTTTAATTCAGTTCACAGATCACTGTCCTCGTTTAATGTTTCTTCCTAACAAAAGTCTTTAAATTGTGGCATTGTCCTGGAAAGGGAATACTTATTTTCTGGTGCTCATTATGGAGCATGGCATAGCAATGCACACTTTGTTCAAATGTTATTTACAAGCAATGCTGTATAAAGAACAAGAGAAGAGTTGCTTGTGTGAAGAAGGCATTCTTGAAGAAAAACACAACATTGTTTATAGAGTGGGGATGGTCTTTCTAGTGTCTCTAAGCTGTGGTTTCATGGCTAGGAAAGAGATAAATGTCTCTCCCTCCTATCAAAACCATGAGCAGTGTTGAGTACAGGTCTCTCTAGTGGTTGGTCAGTCAGTCGAGTCCGACTCTTCACAACCCCATGGACCAGCTCCCGCCAGGCCCTCCTGTCTTCCGCCGTCCTCTGAACATAAATCCTTGATGAATGGAGAGAAGTTACCTTAACTGGGGTTTTTTAAAATTTCATTTATGCCCAGTTTTCTTCCCCAAAGGGGGTCCAATGTGGCTTACACCAATCTCCCCTCCTCCATTTTATACTCCCAACAGCCGTGTGTGGAATAGGTTCAGCTGAGAGTGTGTGGCTGGCCCAAGGTCACCCAGCAAGCTTCCATGCCTTAGCCAAGCTTCTTTTATTATGTTTGAGTTACTTCTAGGGAGGCTTAAACTGTAGTTTGCATGGCCTGTGGTTCACTGTTGGCATATTTTGAGAAATACGATAACGTACAAGACAGGTTTACTTCAGCTGATAATTATTCTAAAAGACAGACGTACTTTGTGTGGGGAATGCTCAAGGCAATGGTATGCAGCTCAAAACTGTAAGTTAGTTATTTGGGCTGCGATCCTTTGTGGAAGTGGAGCTGGTTGGGGAGCATCTACTTGTAGAAAACTGGTATGGCCTCTCAGCTACTAGGGCACGTTTGTGCTTAGTGTGCCAGTGAGCTGCTGAGCATGCTGCACCTTGGCAGAATCATTCCTCCGAATGCGGGACCCTCTACTCGTTGCCTTGGAGCCTTCAACAGCCTTCTTTTGCTTGGGTCCCCCTACACTTTATTGGGTTCTAATTCCGACCAGAAGCAGCACAACAGTTGGGGCCATTTCATTTTCCTTTCTTCAGAGAGAGTGCGGTCTCTGTGTGTATGCTTTTTTTCAGGGCTTCTCAGAATAAAGCTGATTTCTTTCCTTCCCCCACAAATCAGCACTCATTCTACAACACACTTTTCACAATTTGAGTGGAAAATTCTGCCATTTAAAACTAGAGGCCATTCTGACAATGTGTGTATGCATACAGCGCTATCAAGTTGCAGTTGACTGGAATTCCTTGGTGGTCTCCCATCCAAATACTAACTCGGGCCAGCCCGGATTAGATGTCGAGATCTGACTGGCTTGAGCTATCCAGGTCAGGGCATTCTGACAATGGTGGTGTAAAATTAAAATGTATCATATATTTAAAGCACTCGCCATTGCCATCCATAAAGTGCATTTCCTGAAGGCAGTGTTTTCAGTGTGTAGACAGAAATAATACATGGGATTTAGCTGAAATGGTACTGAGCATGGAAATCGTGGACTGGATCCAGTGGTTCCCTTCTACTGGAGAAAGATTCCTCACTTAACAAAAGCCCTGCAGATTTACTTGTAAGTAAGTGCTGGTCAATTCAAGGAGACTTGCTTTCAAGTAAGAGTACATAGTTTTGCAGTTCTGCTCTCAACTGAAGTAAGGCTGGTGTGATATATCAAGTGCACTGTCATTGGGAATGGACTGTACTTGCTACTTAGATTAATTTCTTTTTAAAAAAATCAGTGTCCTATTCATGAGCAGTTGTAAACCCTTGATGGGGTATACTTCAGTACATAATTGTATGGCTTTTTTGCTAGGTCTTAATCATGTTGTTTGTTAATGATGAGGATTATTGAACATTTCCCCTCTTTCGAATACAACAGCATTATGAAGTTAGGGAATGTTGTGCTTACTTCAAACCACATAATAAACAGGCAGACACTTAATCAGCCTCTCCCCTCACCCTCTGAGTCCAAGTGACTTCCATGTGACACTGATTCTCCAGGATTTTCTTGTGGATGCTGATGACTCGCAGTGAGAATTGAGCTTCCACATGGTGGATTTCCTTATATATTCCTGGCTCCAATCTTGGGTG